GTGTTTATGTGGTTTACGGTTCAAAAAACCCATTATTTTCCACATACTGTACATTATTGTTGCTCCTCTATGCCCCGCCTTTCTGAAACGTGTCGATTTTTACAAAGCGCATCGGTCTGAAAAAGCGAGGTGTGCTGTGATTGGCCAGCTATCCAGTGCGTTGTGATTGGCCGAATACCTCAAGCGTGTGACGGAAATGTTACGCCCCTCACCATACTGTGATGCTTGCGGCAACCACATGTGACGACCCCGGGCTGGACTCCGCTTCGTCCACGGTGAAAGCCGATCCGGCGATCCACAGCGCGAAGTTGATATTTCCTCAGCGACCAGCACAGATCAGCTCTAGGCATGACGAAGCCATATCGTCCTCTTTTGGAAGCCAAACAAAGTAGTTTCGCTTTCACAACGAAACACACAGCACCTTCACGACATGGTGGCGGTGGCAGCAACAATACTACAGCGAGAATAAAAGTTACGCCTTCTTTCTTTGCGTGAAGATGTGGGAGAGTTGCATACCGCCGCCCAAATAGTGACGTAGACATGTGGGGGCGTGTTAGAACGGGGCGTTTTAGGTAGGCGTGGCTGACTCAACTTTTATAAAGAATATCTCTTTGGATTTGAGACTTTAGTCTTTGCAACTTTACAGATCTTCTTTATGCACCAAGAGCTTGTAACACTCCAAAGAGAAAGGAAACATTGAAATCGCATCATATGACCCCTTTAATCGAATTTATAGCTACCTGCCTTTCATTCATTAATTTTTTTAATAACTTTATGCAGAAATACCAAGTGCAAAAACTTAATTATATAATCATCAAGAGAAACCCACAGAAATGTTAGGAAGCACTATTTTACACGTGAAAGATGCAGTCCTAGTAAACCATTAGTAGTTAAGTAGTTTTTTTTACACACAATCCAACAAGAATGAAATGAAAATTCACCTTATATATTTAATAAATGCATGTTATAGATCTTGTTGTGAACAAATCATTTGTGCAATAGGCTATATGTAATTTGTAAAAAATGTTTTGACCTCATAATGTCTAATCAAAATGTCATAACTGGACCTTCTGGTGAAAACAATAGACTTCTCTCTGGTGACATATACAAGACTTCTCCAGTCATTTAATCTGCTTAAACCTTGCCTCAATAAGTTTGCATTCATCTGCCTCCACTTTGAGTCGATGCCTACATCTCAACAAAAGTCAGACCCCTAGGGCTGAGAGTATGGAAGAGTTGCCTTTTCCTCATCATTTGGTACATTTTCAGGGCATGGATCTGGATTCCAGATCAATTAGACCTGTTCTTGCAATGGAGAGGAGTTTGGCTATTGCAAAGATCCAGGTTCATCAACATCTTCTGTATGTGGATGAGCTACTCACTGAATACTCAGCATGGGCTGATATGCTTTCCCTGTCCTTCCCCATCTTTGGGCTGCTCTGAGCTGCGTAGTACTGGAAAGAGGTCATGACTGGTCCTACAGATTTGTACTGGTTGATGGTGCCATGGTTCAGTCTTCTTTTACACCTTACCTGTTTGCTTCCATCCCCTGGGATGTTAAAGCCGTGCATCTGGGCCCTGGGGTTGAACAGCATCTTACACACTCAGGAACACTGTCTCAAATGTGACAAATATATAGAAACTGAACAGACCAGGTTCTTAATCCATTTAATTGTCCTATCAGTTCAGTGCTGTAGATTCCTATGGCACTGACCGAATACTGGGCAGTTGCCATCAAAACTTATAGGGCTAGTTCACATAGGGTGACCATACGTCCTCTTTTTCCTGGACATGTCCTCTTTAAGACCTAAAAAATGCGTTTTCTAAATCGCCCAAATTGTCTGGGATTAGGCTTTTGCTTTCTACAGTCGCCATTCATTGTTTGCGTTTTTGTATTAGAGCCCTGCCAGGGGCTGTTTTCTTAATCCTGCTCCTGCTGAATTTCTGACCATTATCGCCCACTCCTGTGATTTTTGTGTCCAGTGCTCCCTCAAACATTCTAATATTGTATAGGCCTATAATTTTCGCGCATCAGGAAAATGTGCATCAATGCACCATCAATATACAGGGTATTTAAATCTCTTTTGAATGAGCGCTCGCTGTTCACTTTCACTATTGATTTTGCGATCACGCACGCTTTTTCCCAATGGAATTGGGCTATTTTTAAACCGTGGCTATAGGTTGATTTTCCCATGTGGGCTAAAGGTTTGAAATGTTGCAAAAATTACATTTGACTGAAATGCTTGTATTGAAACATTTTGCATTCTACCCAGGGCCGTCGCTAGTGGGGTGAAAGGTGGTGACGATTATAGGGGCCCACAGCTGTGTCGGTGTCCTTCATGTTAATTCAAGAAAAATAAAAGAAAGAAAATCACTCACCGCTCTTGCCTGAATACATTTTTTGTTTTAACAAGAACTAATCTATATTTAATTTATACAGTGAAGACTATGCAATGCTATTTTACATTTGATTATTCGGTTTCTGTACCTGAATACAAACTTGAAAAAAAACAACTTTTTAATTTCTATCTTTGTTCTATTTATTTATGCTATTTACATGATTTCAGACAGGGCCCATGGGTACAACCTGCCCCGCAAACCCCTGCTATGGCACTGATTCTACCTATGATAAAACTGTGCTAGATGTTAAGTTTTGTGAAGGAGGGCCACTGGTAGGAAGCTTTTTAGCTGTGTTTATGATCAATATGCATAACAGTGCACAACAGAAAATGACATTTTGAGTTTTGATATTTAGGATTGCGCTACTTTGGTGCTTTCAGCATTACTTTAACCACAAACCAACCAAACCCCAGCCCCCCGCCCCGCCCGCACCCACTGTCCTCTTTTTGGAAAATGGTCACCCTACGTAAATGTTTATAAATGAGGCTCCTGGTCTGGTCAGCATCGAGGCCATGATCATGAAGGACCTGCTTTGTTGGACAGGCCATATTATACAAATGGACAGTTCCTGTTTCCAATATCAGATACCCTATAGAGTGCTGTCTCAAGGCCACAGGCATCATGGTCATCCAAAGAAGCGTTACAAGGACTGCATCAAAGAAAGTCTGAAGCACTTTGATTTCCCTGAGGCAGAACTGGAATCCAGAGCTGAGGACAGAACCAGCTGGTGAGTAGCAATCAACCAGGCCTTAAGAAAGTTCGAACAATGTCGATGAGAAACTGTTATGGCTGCCAGGCAATACAGGAAGAAATCTAAAACTGCTCTACTGACAGAGTCCTTCTTGTGCCCTTATACTGTTCCAAAGTGTGCGCACCCAGAAAAGGCCTTATCAGTCACACACGCTCCCACCACAGAGGAAGACTGCACAAGCAGTGACATCACCGTAACCGATGGTCAACCACCAAGGTGTAAAATTGTTTAACATGATTAGAAATTAAGATGTGCTGCGGCAGAAATAAATCAGAAACAAAGATGCTACAGTGCACATATTTACAGTATGCCAAGAGAGGACTGATGAAATAAGTTTTTGTGAATATTACTTCCATGTTAGAATATAAAATAAAAGTCTTCTGGGTCAAAGACACCCTAACTATTCTGCATTCTCACAAACACTATAATTAATTAGTTTGGAAGTTTTATAATTAAGATAATTTATAATTAACAACCAGCGATTGGAGGAGCACGCTTCAAGTTGCCAAAGAATCTCCTAGGATCACCATTGGAGAATTGCAGGTATTAGTTGGGTCTTGGGGTCAGAAAGTCTTTAAAACTACAATCAGATATCACCAACATAATCACAACTCACAAATTTGGGAAGGTTGGAATGAAAAAGTCTTGACTAAGATCAAATAACAAACAAGTGTCTACATTACAGTTTGCCACACTGTAAAAAATTACAGTGAATTTAACAGTAAAAGACTGTAAAAATGCTACAGTAATAACCTGTTAAATGGTTAACGGTAAATTCCCCTACTATGGAATATATTCACCTACGGTGAAAAACTGTATTGGACATTACATGTATTGGACATAAATGTTTCGGTAGTATACCGTTTTTGGAAGTGGAAAAAGACCGTATGATTTAATATTACAAAGGTACAAAACAGATTTCAGTACTTCAATAGGTTGGTATATTAACATTATATCAGTTAATGAAATTACTGTATTTAACTGTAAATTTAAGTTAAAACCGTAAAACCTAAAACGTTGCTACCGTATTTTTTACGGTAAAATTCCGGCAACCACAGCTGCTGCTTTTTTACCGTAAATTTTACAGATTTGTTTTACAGTGCAGATGTTACTGAAACCTTCAATGGGACTGAGTGCTAGCTAGAACAAAACAGAGCCTTTTGTGGGTTTGGCACAGGCAGAAATACAGCCATGCAAAAAAGTACTTCATAGCCTATCTGCTGTGAAGTATGTTGGCGGATCCTCCAACAGGACATTGATCCAAAGCACACCACAAATTCACTGACCACAGAACGAAGGTTTTGCCATTGCCACCCCAGTCCCCTGACCTAAACCCTGTAGAAAACCATACGATGAGCTGCTGTGGAGAGCATGGTCACAGAATCTGAAGGATCTGGAGAGATACTGTATGGAGAAGTGCTGTCAGATCCCTTGCTATGAGTTTACAGGCTCATTAGTTAAACATTATAGGAGAAAACTCAGCTGTTATCTTGATATCGGGGCATTTGCATTAAATTAAGGCTGCCAATAACTGTGGCACACATGTATGTGAGAAAAAATCATTTAATTTATTTTAGGCTAGATTTTTTTCACAGTATGTTTTGGTCATATTTAGGTCCCACTATTTGTACAGTAGAGGGCGCGAGCGTCGCTGCTCCACGCTCCAGCTCGGTTGGTGGCGGTAATGCGCCAAAGACAAGCCAATACAACTCAAGAAGAAAAAAGGGATCGCGGCAGATCCCAGGTCAGCTCCTAATCTACAATTATCCCTGTGTGCACGTCATCAGTTCCTGAACGCGTGTGTGCTGTGCATTTAAAGCAAAAGGTTTGTGTATTTACGCGAGTGCCTTAAAATATGCATGTGATGCAGTTCGATTAATGAATACATTGACACATTGCATGATTTCATTGTTCGATTGTGTTTTGTGAAAGGTAACACTTGTTAAACCGGCCAGTCACAGTCTATCGAAGGCTGCAATAAAATATAATTGTATGCAATGACCTGCATTTGCATGACATTTTATTTGTTTTGTAGGTGGGGATGGAAAACCATTTTTACATTGTTGGCGTCTACGCATTGATGTCTTTGCACCTTTTGTTAGTCCAAGGAGCCAGACAGGGTCAAGAAATAAAATGTGGAGGTATTTCAACTTTTTTACACTTTTTATAATTTACTGTGCATATATGTTAACATTCATGTATGCATGTATATATTTTTATACCCAGACAGCCATTGTGGATTAGTTGTCTTGAAGGACAAAGAAACATCAGGAATGTAATACACTTTCATAAATGCATCTTCAAACTGTTTTATAAATAATTGTGCTTTGTGATTAAGGAGTTCTTCTGAATTGCATCACGCACATGTTTTTCCCCAGCGTGCAGGGCATTAGTCGATGAAATGGAGTGGGCCATATCACAAATAGATCCCAAGAAAATGATCCAGACCGGATCATTTAGGATTGATCCTGATGGCAGTCAGTCAGTAAGAGAGGTGACATATTTTAGTTTCATAATGACATCATTTTTTGTTTGTTTGACACCAACTTACAGATCTTCATGTATTTGTTTTAATGTGCTTAGGTTCCCTTTTCCCGCTCTGAGAGTCATCTGCTGGAACTGATGGAAGAGGTTTGTGAGAGGATGAACGATTACGGTGAACGGCGGAAGACATACGAGAGACATGCATCCCGTGATGGCACTGCCATGGACCTTTCTGATGTGGCCTTTGACTCCAGAGTCAGCTCTAGTTTAAAGTTTGCTGTGAGAATGTTTTTTTCCCCCCATTTCTTCATGTCTTTTATTTTTAAGCCAAACCTTAAAGGGGTGGTTCAGTGGTTTTTTTCTAGGCTTGATTGTGTTTATGGGGTGCAGTCTAACATGTGTTAATGCTTCGTTTTTTAAAAAACGCATTATTTTTCACATAATTTACTTTTATTCCACACCGCTCTGTCCCTTCTCTGAGAAACACGCTGATCATTTCCTGTTTTTATGAAGCCCCTCCCTCAGAAATAGGCGATGGGCTCTGATTGGTTAGCTAGCCCAGTGTGTTGTGATTGGCTAAACCACCTCTAGCACGTGTCTAAACGTCCTGCCCCTCACCTCAGTGCATGTGCTCCAGTTGTATTGTAAACAACGGCGTCATTAATATTGCTTATCAGTTTGAGCCCGATTGAGAAGCAGAGGATATTATTGAAGAGGATTGTGCAGAACCTGTGCAAGCACGGCTTTTAATGGTAGGCTTATATTTTTTGTTTGTTGTCTCATACTTTTAGCTACGCTGTTATTTGCAAATGCTACTGCTTCTGTTAGCTTTTAATATACGGTTTTATCCTGATTAAAGCTTTAA